GAATCTTCCTCTAATTCTATTCCATATTCCTCTTTATATAGTCTAGCTTCTCAAATGATTTGCCCAGTATACAGAACAAATAGTTACAGAGAAAGGATACAACCCTGACACACGCCCTTTCTGCTTTTAAACCATGTAGTGTTCTCTTGTTTTGTTCAAACAACTGCTTCTTGGTCTAAGGATAGGTTTCACTTAAGTACAATTTAGAGCTCTGACATTTCCATTCTTTTCAATGTTAGCCATGCTTTGTTATGATGCACACAGTCAAATGCCTTTGCATAGTCAGTAACACAAAAGTAAACAGACCTTTCTGGTATTCTCTGCTTTCAACGAAAATCCTTCTGACATTAGCAAGGATATCCCTTGTTTTTATAGCCTCTTCAGAATCTAGCTTGAATTTCAGGCAATTCCCTGTCAATGTATTGTTCCAGTCAGTCTTAATAATTTTCAGCAAGATTTTATTTGCATGTGACATTACTGATACTGTTCATCCTTTCTGGAACCAGAATAAATATGGATTCCAGACTGTTGGCCAGGTAGCTGTCTTTCAAATTTCTTGGTGTAGGCTGGTGAGTACATCCAGGGTAGCATCTATTTATTGAAACACCTCAACTGGTATTCCATCAATTCCTAGAGCCTTATTTTTTTGCCAATTCCTTCAACGCAGCTTGACCTTCTTCCTTTGTTACCACTAGTTCTTGATCATATTTATGAAATGGTTCCAAGTTCACCAATTCTTTTTTGTGCAATGACTCTGAGTGTTCTTTCCATCTTCTTCTGATGTTTCCGGCATCATTCAACATTTTGCCCAGAGAATCCTTCAGTATTACAACTTGAGCCTGAATTTGTTCTTCAATTCTTTCAGCTTGAGCAAAGTTGAATAAGTTCTCCCGTTTTTCTTTTCTAACTCCAAATCCTCTGTGTACACCTCATTATAACACTTTGCTTTCCTGTCTTGAGTTGCTCTTTTGAAATTTTAATTCTTCTCTCTCCCATCAACATTTCTTCCTTTTGTTTTGGCCCATGTTTTAGTGCAAGAATCAGTCTCTTCTGACATCTATTTTGGTCTTCTCTTTCTTTTTTGTCTCTGTTAATGACCTTTTGCTTTCTTCATAGATGATGTCATCGATGTTATACTATTACTTGTTTAGTCTTTAGTCATTAATGTTCAGTGTGTAAAATCTATTCTTGAGGCAGATTTAAAATTTAATTGGTATAGACTCACAATCATATTCTGGTTCTCATGGACTTCTTTACAATTTTAATTTTTTCGTTTCAATTTGAATTTGTATCTGAGTAATTGGTACTCTATCTGTTCCACAGACAGATTTGGCCTTTTTTTCTTTTATTTTCTTTTTAAAAGGGGAAAGCATGAGTGCAGTCCCTACTACCACAAAGTATGTAATCAAGTTTCCAACATTTGGGGAAGTCACAGGCCTTGTTCTGACAATGGATATTGACCTTCTTCATTGGCTCATTTCACAGATGCACTCAATATCATTTCTACTTAGCCCATTACGTGAAGTCTGTATGTATAGCTGACAATTATGTGTTGGGTTTTTTAAAAAAGGTATTTCAGTGAATATATAACTGATTGGACAAAAATTGTATCATGTGGTCTCTAGATTCCTTTTTTGGTACCAAGGCCATATTTCCTAATACCAAATCCATCTTTGTTTCCAACATTTTTCAAAAAAAGAAAGCTGTCAGTTTTTTATAAAGAAAACTTTTATTTTAATTGTGATTTTAACAAAAATTTAAAGTTAGGTTTCCACTCATTCATTGTTGCACATTTTACCCCTTCTCCTTCCCTTCTCTCTCCCTCAGTTCACTTTTTAAAAAAAATCATTTATTGTTACACAATGACCTCCCCCAACCCCAGTCCTCTCTATAATGTGCCTCTTATTCTAAGCTGTTGTCATATATATAACACCCAATCATATATTCCTTGGTTTGCTTGGATCCACAGTCAACACTCTTGGTACCAGCAGCCAGGAAATTAAAAGACGTATTGTGATGGGAAAGTCTGTGGTTATAGACCTCTCTAAAGTGCTAAAGTGCAAAGATGTCAGTCTGGAGACTAAGGTGCATCTGATACATGCCATGGTCTTTGCATTCACTTGCTATGCATCAGAGAGCTGGACAATGACTAGGGATGATAGAAGGAGAATTGATGCCTTTGAGCTGTGGTACTGGAGAAGAGTATTGAATATACCATGGACTGACTGCTAGGAAAACAAATAGGTTTGTCCTGCAGACGGTGAGGCCAGGCTGCTCCTTGGAGGCAAGGATTCTGAAGCTTCATCTGATATACTTTGGACATGTTGCAAGGAGGGACCGGTCCTTGGAGAGGGACATCAAGCTTGGGAGGGTGGAGGGACAAGTGCAGGAGAGGAAGACTCTCAGTGAGATGGATTGATTCAGTGACTGGGGTAATGGGGGTAGGTGTTTCAGAGACAATGAGATTGGCAAGGGATAGAGCAGGGTTTAGGGATGCTGAACATAGGGTCGCTATGAGTCGCAGGCACATTAACAACAACAAACACAAAACCTCATTTAGATGATTGTTCAGAAGAGCACAGTATCATGGGTGATGGCATTTATTTTACGAGTCACTATGTCTTTTGGCTGATAAATGACATTTGGGAGTGGTCTGAGTCCCAAGTTTAAAAGTTACCCTGGGATGACAATCTCAGAGGCTCTTCTAGTTTAGTTTCTACTGGTCTATTTAATCTGGTCTTTTCTTCTTTTTAAATGTAAATTAAACTCTGTTCTATATTACCCCCCATTCTGTCCAGGACAGTCTACTTTGGCCCTGGTTGAAATGGTTGGTAGGAGTACCCAAGAACCATCTTCTTGGTGTCAAGGTCACTGAGGTTGTGGTTGGTGTGAACTCATTATTAAGTATTTGGTTTCCTTCTTGCGGTTTGAGTCCACATGTAACTCCAAAATTATAATGTAGATGGCTACTCCTAAGCCTTAAAAATTCCAGGTGCTTCCCACCAAATTAAAATTTATGGGCTATTTTATGTAAGTTGACCAAGTAATCAGGTCCAACATGACTATATAGTTGGTTACATCAAGAAAGTATTCATAACGTGTTCTTTCTGAGATTTATCTTATTACTAGGCCGCCTCTGTACATGTTATACAAACACATACATACATCTTGCCTACAGAAATACTTATGCATGTACACTTATATAATCATGTACTTAACTATATACATAAAGGCACACATACACAATCACACGTATTTTTTGGTTGCAAAATGATATCACAGTCACCTTACATTACTGTATACTTCTTAGTGCCATCCTTCACCTTGGCTAAGTTGCGCCAATTTTACACTTCTTCAGTACCACCTTACTGTTGTTAGGTGCTATTGAGTTGCCCATGACTCACAGCAACCCTATGTACAAAAGATCTGAACCTTGTCCTATCCTGCAACATCCTCTAAAGCTCTGACGTGCTCAATCTCATTGTTACAGTCATTCTGTCAATCTGTATAGATAAGAGTCTTCCTCTCTTTCCCTGACCCTCTCTTTACCTTTCCCAGCATATATTATTCCAAGAACTGGACCCTCTAATAACAAGCCCAAAGTATATGACATGAAACTCTACATTGTACTGTCTCACCACCACCAAAAGTGAAGTGTCTGCCATCTAGAAAGTGATTCCCCAGGCCTTCTAACCTCCCATCTCTGTAAGCAACAAATGATGTTGTTTACTGTACTGTACACTCTATTTTGTCATTTTCTAATAGAGAGCTCATACAGTATCTGTTCTTTTGTGTTTGTTTTCTTTCTCTCAGCAGACTATTCTTAAGGTTTACCCATGTTGGAGGATACAGTAAGAACTCATTATTATTCTTTCATTGTGATATTCACAATACGAATAAGCACAGTCACTATGTCTTTTGATTGACAGATGACAAAGCTGTTTCTATCATTTTGCTGTTGTAAACAATGTTGCAATGGACACAGACGTGCACATATCTGTTCACATCAGTAATTTTAGTTCTCTAGAGTATATATCTAGTAGAATAATTTCCAGATCAAAGGGATATTTCTATGTCTGTGTCTGTGAGGAAGTGTCATACTGTTTTCCATAGTGGCTGAATCAATCCATAGCAATTAGTTTTCCATTCAACAATTCATAATGTTTTGTGTGCATTTTGTGCAGTCTCCAGCAATAGGATTCTTACTTCCTCCATGTGTTTACCATTTCCATTTGTCTTTCTTCCCTAACCCTCCTGGTCATCTGGGCTTTGACCCTGAGCAAATGTAGCCTTTTTAACCTTGTATGATCAATTGTTCTAAGGAGTGCTTAGCTCTCTGGTGTTCTTATTCATATTATAGTCTTCACATTATAAAACCAAACCGTTGCTATAAAGTCAGAACCGACTCATACCTGAACTTCAGTGTGGCTGGAGGCTGTCAATCACATGGAAGGATTTTTTGGCCCATCTTTCTCCCTCAGTCAGTGGAGCCAAGGGTGCTCTGGTGGCATAGTATACAGGGGATTGAGCTGCTAATTCTCCTTATGTGTCTGTCTATTGCTTAGTTGTAATTGTGCCATAGTGGCATTCAATTCCAGACTTGAAGAATGTCTAAGGGCCAGAATCTTAGGGTATAAATGGCTAATTTTTCAGAAGAAGACTGTCAATCCCTTCCTTTAAAATGCCAAGCAAAAGTACCTTTTCTACCAACACACAAAAAAGGTAAATTTAAATACTTACCAGCTGTAAACTATTCAGAATTTAATTTACAAACAACTAGCTGCTCTCAATCAGAGTACATACTTCAGTCTGAGCTGTTGTCATATTATTTTATATTTACAGGTCTTTTAATACTTTTGTTTACTTATCACACTTTTCATTACTGGATCAATAATACTTGAATAAATACCCTGGGCCTGCCAAATCACTTTTCATAGCACAGTGTCTACACATTATTGCTTTTGGCTTCTTAGTTCAGACTGTGATGTAGGAAGACTTACCTTAGGTAGACCAATAGCCTCCATCGCTCTTAACCACTGGACGGTATTATCTGTGTGTCGAAAATGGAGGCCCGACTTCTAAGAAAAAGATAAGAGAGAAAAGGGGTCACACAAGGAAAAGATAAAAGAGAAATAAGAGATCACACAAAAACTTAGCCATTTGTAAAAGTTTTTGTTTCCATCTCCAGAGTCCTTTTCAACTTTTCCTGGAATGATTGCTCACATAACACAAGAGATAATGAAGAAAGCAGATTTTATCTCAGCAACACTCTGGCCATTTGTGATGTAACATGACAGTCCCCAGAATTTACTTATTAGAAGTAATTCCCAAGTGGGATCCTCAAATAACCTCGCTCTCACTTCATGTCTCACACATGATGAAAGATAGTTCATGAGACAGTTATCTACATGTGCATGTTGATATGCACACACACACACACACACACACACGCACGCACAAAGTGTCACAACTTGACAACTATGGCTTAGAAGATTATAAACTTCGGGACAAATAGAATTTTTTAGAAATGTGTTTTTTTCCCTGACATGAACAAAGCATGACTGCTGTTGAAAATGGAAAACCCAATTGCTTCAGGAAAGAAAGATGGGCAATCTCTTCCCATTTTGTACATATAATTAACTGCCTCTGAAAATCTGCTGGAGGGTCAGCTCTCAGTCAGTTCTCTCAATAGTACGTAACAGTAACATCAACAACTGGATTAGCTCACTATTGTTGAATTGGTTCTGCCTCATAAATATGCTCTATTGGATTCACAATCAAAATCCTTGATACCAGTAGTCAAGAGACGGGAAGACACATTGCATTGGGCAAGTCTGCTGTCAGTGATCTCTCCAAGGTATCGAAGAGCAAGACTCAAAGCTAAGGTGTGCCTGATTCAGGCCATGGTCTTTTCAATTGCTTGCCATACATCTGAGAGCTGGACAATGAATAAGGATGACAGAAGACTTAAGATCTTTAAATTGTGGTATTTGAGAACAGTACTGACTATCCCATGAACTGCCAACAGAACAGATGTGTCCTATAAAAAGTGCCGCCAGAGTGCTCTTTGGAGGCAAAGACGGCACAGCTTCATCTCTCACACTTTGGGCATGTTGCTTGGAGAAGCTGTAGCAATGGGATCGAGTGTGCCAGAGTTGATGAGGATGGCTCAGGACAGGGGAGGGTTCAGGTCTACTGGTCATAGTGTCGCCATGAGTCATACTTGACTCGACAGAACATAGTAAGAACAACAACATTCACAACAGGTGGAAACCACCTATCTCTCTGACCCTGATCTAATGGTAGGTTTTAAATTTGATATGGGCTATGTCACCAAAACATCTTGCTACTGGATCAGCTTCCACTATGACAAAAATATTCATATAGATTAAAAATCATCTTAGCCTATTATAGTTTATTTTCACCAGTAGTCCTACATGTTAGACTAAGTGGGGTGCATGCAGTCATACTTAGCCAACAGTTGGTTCCGTCCATCTTTATTTCTTTCAGGTACTGTGCTACAAAGTGCATGCTGATTTTCACTGCTGAGCTATAGCTGTATCAGCAAACAAGCTCACTTTCGTTTAAATTGCATATTTGAGGAAGTAGTTACAGTCTTCTTTGAGTGATGATTACCTACATATTAGAATTAAAGCATGTTAGGGCAATCAGATCCTAACTTGTTTTCATGCTTCCAAACAAAACCAAGCCAGGTGTTGTCAACTTGACTCTGTCTCATTGTAACCTTATGCTTTCTTAGAGTAGGACTGTGGACATCATCATATTTTCAAGGCTACAACTTCTCAAAATCAGATCACTAAGCCCTTCTTGTAAGGAATCTCTAACTAAGCTGCAGCCACCAACCTGTCCGTTAGTATAATCACTTGCACCCTCCAGGCAGTCCTGTCAGGTAGCTTAGAGAGCAGTAGTTATTTTCATTTGCTTTTTTTGTAGAAAAGAAAAGGAAGCCTCAGCATTTCAATTACTTGCTCTAGGAGACTTGTTTGGTTAGCTTCACTAGGCCTGATTGTATATATGCCTCATAACATTTCCACAAACATGGCAATGCTGCTAGATGGCACTGGGTCCTCCACCTATGGTGACTGGGTGCGCAACTGACCCATGTTGCCAGGCCCTGCATCATCCTCACGATCCCTGGGATGTAAGTCCTTGTTGAGGCTATCATGTCAATCAATCAATCTCATGGAGCGTTTCCACTGATCGTCAACCAAACTTGGTTTTCCCCCCGCAGTAACTGGTCTTTTTCTGAGGATGGGGACAAAGCAAAAGAGCCAAAACCTTGCCATCCTCATTTCTAAGGAACACTCTGGTTGTATTTCTCCTAAGGATAATTTGTTCACTCTGGCAGTCTATAGTATGTTCAATATTCTTCAGCAGCACTATAATTCAAATGCATCAAGTTTTCTACAGTCTTTTTTTTTAATTGCTCAGCTTTTACATGGAAAAAAGAGAAGTGAAGAGATCATGGGTTGGGTCAGGTGAACCTGAGTCATCAAAGCAATGGATGTTTTTCTTAAACTGTAAAGAGGGTTTTGTAGCAGATTTGGGCAACGCAATATGATGGGCGTAGTTCAATGTTGATTAATTTTATAAAATATAATGAGTGGGAATGACTGTAAGAAACACAATACGAACTTTATAAGCAAACCAATATAAAAGAAAAATTTATTTATTTAAAAAAAGTTTGATTTCTTGACTGCTTCTACCACGAATACTGCTTGGTTAGCCAAGTAAAGTGGCATCATTGACAAGTTCAAGTTCTTTATTTATTATGCTGTTTATAATTTTACCACAAAGGCTGTTGTTATTAGGTGCTGTCACTTTTCCTATTCATGTCACTATTAGGCATGTTCTGATCCTACGAAGAACAGATCGAAATCTTGCCCAATCCATCCCATCTCCTCTATGCTCAAACCAATTGCTGCAGTCACTGTATCAATCCATCCTGTTGTAGGTCTTCCTTTCTTTCCTTGACCCCCAACTTTCCCAGAAGGATGTCTTTTTCCAAAGACTGGCCCCAGCGCCTAACAGAATGCCCAAAATATGTTAGATGAGATCACACCATCCTTGTCTCTGAGAACACCCTGGTTGTGCTTCCTCCAAAAAATATTTCTTTGATTGATATGCATTGGTGCAATGGTCCCCAAATCGTAGTGCTATAGGGGGGTGGAAAACACCCCAAACAAACTAATGGATAATTATTCAGAAGGGAGCCCTGGGGGGTATTGTACAGCTAATAAAAAGTCTCTGTCCATAGTAGTTTGAATTCAACAGCCCAGCTGCTTCTTGGAAGAAAGATGGGCAGTCTCCTCTCATTATAATTGATAGAAGGTCATCATGAGTTGAAAACTCCTCTGATGACAATAAGGGCGGTTTTTGGTGCATATCAATTATTCAGAGTGCTTCTTTCAGAATCTCAGCCAAGGGATTTTGACACAGCTATAGGAGAAGGAGAGACTGTGGGCCCAGGAGTCCACAGTTTTTACATGCAAACCATTAGGAGGTTCTGCCAGTTCACTTTAAATGATCAGAATGAATGTTGACTTCCTTGGCTTATTGGAAAGCACCGCTTTTCAGTCTTACACCAAACAGCTGTTTACCAAGCGCCTAGTCCAGTCCAGACTACAGCACTGCGGAAGGGCAGTGAAAGAGCATGTTCAGTTCCTGCTGTCACGTCAACACTGCATTGTATGCCTCCAAGTATCTACAGTGTCTTCATCTACAGAGAACTGAGGTGTATCTAAGAGGAGCTCAAATCCAGGGACGGGGCGTGGAGATGACCAGGGAAGAAATACTCAGCACTAGGTGGCTTAGCTCTCACACCAGCCACATGTCTAACCCTAAATTCACCAGAGTTGTAAAGCAATGGTCAATCAAGCTGACAGGCTGGCATGAAGCTCCCATCTGCCTGACTGCTGGCTCACAAGGCTCCCAGTGGCAAGAGTGAGCTGTCAGGGTATCACTTTGTCATGCGACATACTGCACAACAGAGGTCATATTTTACGGCTGCAGTCTCTGTGGCCTGAGTCTAAGTAGACTGAATTCATGGTTTCCAGATGGCACATCAAGAGGTTGGACCTGGGCTAGTAAGTGTTCCCTCGTGTCTCAACAGCTTTGCCTGAGCCCATGATTTAGAGCTCTCTGGAAAGGTCCACACGAATGGTTTTACTCTTGAAGAAGAGGAAGTTAAATCTCCTGTTTCACTGATATTTATTTTTGATTTTTGTGTAAAACAGGGAAAAAAAAACCCTTTAAAATAAAATCTAATGCTGATTTTGCATAAAATCACTAAAAATGTCCATGAAGGATACTGAGTCTTTCCAGGGACTTAAGAAAAGAAACAAAACAAAAAAAGACTTTTTTTTCCTCTAGCAAATCAATAAAGAGGTAATTCCAATTTGTCCCATTGTCTCGTTTAATGCAGCAGTATGGAGGGGTTCCCATGCCACAGCTGGTGTCACCCCCTCCTCCTGTTACGCCCTCCTGCCCTCTCTCCTCGTTGAGCTTCTGCTGGTCACTCAGCTCACTGACGTGAACCATTTCCCCCTCTCATCATCCATCTCCTTCAGGGTTGCCATTCCTTGCCTAGACACCCCCCACCCCGCAGATGCTTAATTCTGTAACAAAATATTGAAAAATATGTTTTTTCCTTGTCCTCCACCCAGCAAGGCAATAAAACCCCAGTTGTTGTGGAGCCAACTTTGACTCAAGGTCAGAAAACTGTGCCTCCCAGGGTTTTCAGGGGCTCACTGTTCAGCAAGAAATTACCAGGTATCACTCTCTCCCCTCCCCCAGACACCTGTGGATGGACGTGATCTGCTAACCTTTTGATTGGCAGTTGAGTACATTAGCTATTATCCAGGCACTCTTCCCAAATAGCAGAATCTAATGGTCAGAGGAGAAAAGACTTGTTTACGTTACCATGAGGACATCCATGTCTGAACTACAAGAAACCAATTGTGTATACTACTATATGGCATGTGAAGAGAAAAGAATTAGCCCTTGTCATTAAACACTCTGTGCTAAAATTCTCAACTCCAAGGAGGGTCTCTCTGGCTGAACAATGTACCCACAATACCCTTTCAGGGCAGCTCAGCCAAACTACCCTTAAACTAAAAACTTGAACTTATTGCTATGGAATCAGAATTGACACAGAATGGAGCTGACCCTCCAGTGGGTTTTCAGAGCCAATGAAGGAATGAATGTCCATCTTTCTCCCACCCTTTAAGTTAGCTCTATTCTTAACTCTATAATGATATTAATATTAGTAGACCTCAGTCTCGGTATTATCCATAGAGAAGCAATGCAATAAGGAAACCCCATGGTGTAAAATACAGAAAAATGTTATTTTGAGAAGACATAATTGATTTCCTTTTCAGTATTTTTCTGAATTTTCAATTACTTCTTAAAACAATTTTTGTTTTAGCTGGCTAATTTATTGTTTAATTAGGGTTTCGTGAAAGGCTAGAATAAGCTAGGACTTGTAGGTGAAATACAATGACTTAATAAGCTCCAACTTAGTTTTTTTCACTGTATAAATATAGGTTTTATTAATAATGGGTGGAATTCCAAATTACTTTAACTAATGCCAACATTTATTCACAGCATCCATTTTTCAAGGCAGAAACATAAGCTCAGTTCCCCTTAAGAACATACTACAGACTCTCAAGAGATCTATCAACTGATTTTGTCTCTTCTTGGATTACTCAAGTATTTGGTGGTACTTAAATATCTGTATTTTAAAATGTCCATCTGAGAGCTAGACAATGAATAAGGAAGACAGAAGAAGAACTGATGCCTTTGAACTGTGGTGCTGGAGAGAGCACTGAACATCCCATAGACTGGCAAAAGAATAAATAGATTTTTCTTAGAGAGGGTGCAGTCCGATTGCTCCTTGGAGGCAAAGATGATAACGCTATTTCTCACTAACTTTGGGTATGTTGCTAGAAGAGGCTATTCCTTGGAGAGGGGCATCATGCTTAGGAAGGTGGAAGGATGGCAAAAGAGAGGAAGACTCACAACCAGGTGGACTGACACGGTGACTGCAGCAATGGACTCAAGTATTTTAGAAATTATGAGGATAGAATAAGACAGGACAGGATTCAGATCTGTTCTTCATTGAGTTGTTATGACTCATAGTTGACTCAATGGCACCTAACAACAAACTTTTAAAATAAACTTTATCTAGAGAGAAACTAAAGAATGTCAACCACACAATAAAATGGGAGAGAAAAAAAATTATTCTCCTGTATATTCAAGGATGTCCCTGCAACTGTAAGAGAAATAACTTTTAATGATTTTGGAAATCTATAGATTAAAAAATGTTGATGTACACAACTAAATACAATTTTTAATAAGATAAGGAATCAAGTTTCAAAGACATTTTAGAAACTTTGACCTTTGGTTACTAAGAAATGACACATTTCAGGACAGACTAGTCTATCCCTTCAAAACACAAATTTAAAAAAAGAGATATTTTATGTTATTGTTTATTTTTACTTACTTCATTTTTTAATGGAACATTTTAAATATGAAAAAGTAGGCAAGAAGAGAATCATGTATTTATATAACACTATCACACAATCTTAACAATTATAAACTTATAGCCAGTTAGGGTTGTCTCTCCAACTCTCCCCCCATCATTTTGCTGCAAATCCTAGACACTCATTTTATCTGCATAGTCTTCTGTAACCCTTTAAGATTAGGATTTTAAAAAATTATACAAGTCTGTTTTGACTTGGGCTCCTTTGCTTCCTCTCTCCCCTGACTCCTACACTCCTTTTAAATCTAAATTGGTGTTATTTTTTTGTGTTTGTCTAAAACGGCTGTAAGAATCTTTTACTCTTGGTTCTCTTACACACTAGGCATGGATCAAGTCTAGAAACAAGTTAGTCTCACAAAGAAGTTACTCTTATTTTTGTTTCAAACACCAAATGGAATGAAATTCCTACTGCACTCTTGTGTATTACTACTGGTTTTTTATCACACTGGTCCTAACTCTTTGGGGCCAAAAGTTCAAGTCCCAGCTGGATACTTTATTCTTTGATGAGAACACAGGGAGTAATAAACTGTGCTGTTGGTGGAAAAGGAGCTGGGAAGGGTGCCCTCACTTCCACACTTAGTGGTGCTAATAACAACTCATGAATGACCTCCAGGAGGGGTGAGTGGAAGTGGGAGGGGTTCAGGGAAGCCAAACAAGCCAGAGGTCTCTCAGCCTCAGGCCAGAAATAAAAACCCTTTGCCTTCAAAACTGCTGTACCTTGAGAATGATTACTAACAGGCTCCAAAGACCAAGGACATTCCCCACTCTGTACCTCCTTCCCCAGCAAAATCCTACTTGACAAGCTGAAAGTAAAAGGAAGCAAAACATCAAACTTCTGTTTTTAGCTGGAAACCACAATCAGTTCAATTTCAGTTACCTTATAACGTGTTTGTTCCACATCATAGATCTTTTTCTCTGACACCATTTTAGGGGCAAAGAACTTGGCTAATTTTGCAAGGTAAACTCCATTCCTGAGTCCTTCTTCCAGTTCAGTGGTCGGTGGCAATTCTTCCACTAAGCAGACTTCCATCCACCTACAAGGATTCAAGCACACAAAACAGAACAAAGCCGTGAGTCCTGGCAGCATATCCCAGTGTGCACTGCAGCTAACAAAGAGGGCAGGATGGCAAACATCTTTGGGAGTCACAGTTGGGAGGAGAAGACTTTCCCCGAGGTGGGATCAGTATTCAGAACGTGAGGCAGGGATGAACAAAGGCACAGAGATGCTGAATTCAACTCCCACCTCAGTGCCTGTCACAGCCTCATCCTTCTCTCAGTCTCTGCCAGTTCACTTTTGTACAAAAGAGGAAAGGGACAAACAATTTTGTATGAGTGGAGTTAGTCCTGCTGACATTAAGCGGGTGGGAGGATTTACATGCTTATGAACCTACACAAATAAAATTCTCAAAGGAGATGTGTCTGGGGAGAGAGTACAGTCGAAATCTGGACACACTGTGGTCTCACTTGCACTGATCTTTCTCTAGTTCTCTAACCAGCACACACACACACACACACACACACACACACAACACACACACACACACACACACACACACACACTCTCTCTCTCTCTCTCTCTCTCTCTCTCTCTCTTTCTCTCTCTGGCTTTTCCTTAGAACTTGGTTCAGAAATGACAGTCAGGTATGGTTACAGGACATGGAATAAGGTCATCAGAAATTCACAAAGCAAACACAGTCTTCTGTAAGGACCATCTACTTCTTTTGCCAGGACCTGCTTACCCTTTGGGGAATATACAGTACATACTAAATTCTGGGGGAAAGAAAAATTCAGAAAAGGACCTGTTTTATTTAAAAAAAAAAAGAATGAGCAAAGGTCATGACTAGCTCAAGGACACTCAGTCAGAAGGCAGCCAGGCCAGTTCACATTTCACACCTGCATGCTGAGAATCTTCCCAGTGTGAGGACAAAGGTAGTTTTATCCAGTCTCCAGTCACTACTACCTGCTGTAAGCGCCCACAGTCCCCTGTGCAGTTTCTCAGTGCGGAGGTCCCCAAATCCCTCCCTCCAGCCAAAGCAGACCATAAATTCTGGGTGTGAGCCCACACCTGTAGCACGATCCCCCAGAGGATCGTTAACACTGCAGCAGCTGAGCTGCCCAACACCTGGAAGACAGCAGGGCACTGTTCTGCAGGGTAAGCTGACCCCCTCACAGGCCATGAACACGGTGAGGTCTGAATGGCTCATTTCTGTGAATAATGTCTGTTAAAAGCACAGAGGGCCCCAAACAAGTAAGGTGTATTTACTGACCACTTCATCATTGTCAGTGGCCATGGAGTCACCCCATCTCTTGGGTACCCCACGGACAATGGAACGAAATGCAGCCTGACCCAGTGCCACTCTCACCGTTCATCACAGGTCAAATAATTTTGATCTGCAGGGTTTCCACTGGTCAGTTTTCACAAAGTAAACTGATGGTCTGTTTTTTATAATTTTTTTAAAATTGTGGTTTTAATGAAAGTTTACAGAAAGGTTGGAATTTCATTCACTCATTGATGCATGTTTCCCTCCCTCACCAGTTCACTTTGTAATGCATTTCTTGTTTCAGACTGTTAATTGTCACACATATAATGCCTAATCATGCATTCTTTTCAGACAGTCCTTGCACTTATCTGTTTCAGTGTGTGTTCAATATCTCACCACTCTTTCCCTGTTCTCCATGTCAGTCCTATTTCATATATTGATTAGCTTTTATTCCTGTCCACTTTAGCCCACCAAAGTCTACAAGTTTTACTAAAACTTGTTAGGCATCACAATAACCTCCCTTGAGGGTGTGCAACACTCCACTGGGGGTGTGCATGAGGTGCACTGGCTGGGAACCAATATTGAGTCTTCCACACAGAAGAGTTCAACCCTTGAACTGTCAATTCCCTTAACCACTGACTGATGTTGTTACATTCCATTGAGTCAGTGCCATCCCTCCAGCAAGCTTTCAGAGGCTATAAATTGCATGAGAGAAGACTGTGATTTTTTTCTCCCACAGAGTACATGGTGATTTGATCTGCTTGCCTTTGGACTGGAAGTGCAACTCCTTAACCACTGGACGACTTGAACTCCACAAGTAGATACCCCAAAGCACTGAGCATGTAAGAAAAATGTAAGCATGTCCCTTGACTTCAAGTGAATTTAATACAATTGAGAAGGCAACATAATCCCAAGGAGAAACCAGGGAGCAGATCATGAGAGTCCACTCTGCCCAGTGCTATGTGACAGTAAATAATAACAAACAAACACAACTCAACTCAACTTAACTCATTGTCACTGAGATGGAATCAACTCACAGCTGATCTTCCATTAGTTCTGAGGCTGTAAATCACAAGAGAGAAGATTGCTGATATTTCTCCCATGGAGTCACTGGTCAATTTTAACCACCTTTGAGTCAGCAGTGAAATTCCTTGAGGACAAAGCCACTAGAGTTTCATATAATATATACAGTATATAACAGATTTGATGCATAAACACTAATGACCAAAGATCAAAGTTGTAACATGACATCAAGGATAGCATCCATGAAAAAACAAAAGGTCCTTACAAAGACAGAGGAAAAAGAAAAGGCCAAAATAACTATCAAAAGAGACTCTAGAAAATAGCACTAGAATGTAAGGACGTCAAAACAAAGGGAAGTAATGCTAAAGTAAGAGAGTTAAACAGATTTCAAAAGTTAGCTAGCTCGGGAAGAGAAAACAATGATATGATGTAAGATAATGAAGCATAAAATTAGTTGGTGTTAGAAAATCAAAAAGGAAGAATATACTTGGTATTTCTCAAACTGAATTGAAAAATTCAAGTCTAGAGTTGAAATATTTAAGTATTTTATGAGCAAACTCTTAGATGATAGAGAGAGCATCAAAAGAAGATCATGGGGTTGCAAAATTTAATGAGGAGAGGGAGGAATGGGTTAAGCAAATGAGAATTAGTGTGGAAAACAATATATACAAACTTTGCAAGTAGACCAGTATAAAATAAAAATGTTATTTAAATTAAGAAAAAAAAACCACACACAATGTTGTTGTTGTTGTTGTTATGTGCTGTCGAGTCGTTTCCGACTCATAGCGACCCTATGTACAACAACAGCCCTAAACCCTGCTCTATCCTGTGCCAATCTCACTGCCTCTGACACACCCATCCCGATCACCCCAGTCACCGAATCAATCCATCTCATAGAGGGTCTTCCCCTCCTGCGCTGTCCCTCCACCCTCCCAAGCATGATGTCCCTCTCCAAGGACCCGTCCCTCCTGGCAACATGTCCAAAGTATGTCAGACGAAGCCCCAGAATGCTTGCCTCCAAGGAGCAGCCTGGTTTAATCCTCTCTACGATGAATCTGTTTGTTTTCTTGGCAGTCCATGGTACATTCAATACTCTTCTCCAGCACCACAGCTCAAAGGCGTCAATTCTCCTTCTATCCTCCCTAGTCATTGTCCAACTCCCTGATGCATAACAAGTGATTGCAAAAACCATGGCCTGTATCAGGCGCACCTTAGTCTCCAGAGAGACACTGTTGCTCTTGAGTACTTTAGGAGGTCCCTAACTGCAGACTTTCCCATCGCAATATGTTTTTTGATTTCCTGGCTACTGGTGCCAAGAGTGTTGACCGTGGAGCCGAGCAAACTGAAGCTGTGAACAATCTCAATGTCTTCACCATCCATCCTGATGCTACCGATTGGTCCAGTGGTGAGAATTTTTGTCTTCTGGACATTGAGACTCAGTCCATATTGAAGGCTGCAGTCCTTGACGCTCTGCAGTAAGTGCATGAGGTCCTTCTCAGTTTCAGCGAGCAAGGTTGTGTCATCTGCATAACGCAGACTGTTGATAGATCATCCACCAATCCTGATGCCACATTTGTCCTCATAGAGCCCAGCCTCCCGGATGATCTGTTCCGCATACAGGTTGAAAAGGTATGGAGATAGGATGCATCCCTGGCGTACGCCCTTCCCAATTTTGAACCATGCAGTGTTTCCTTGCTCTGTTCTGACAAATGCCTCTTGGTTCAAGTATAAGTTTCGCATTAGCATGATCAAGGTTTTTCTCCAAACCTATTTAATCTGTACACTGAGCATGTTATTCAAGAAGCTGGGTTATGTGAAGAAAAATATGGCATTTAGGATTGGAGAAAGACTCATCAACAACAGACATTATACAATGACACAACCTTGCTTGCAGAAAGTGAAGAAAACTTAGAAGCACCTACTGAAGAAAAGATTTTTTTTTTGCAGTTAATCTCAACATTAAGAAAACAAAAGCTCTCCTCACTGGATCAACAGGCAACATCCTGAAAGAGAAAGACTGAAGTTATCAACAATTTCATTTTACTTGGATTCACAATCGATACTCATGGTAACAGAAGTCAAAAGCCAGGTTGCATTGGGGGAATCTGCTGTCAAGGGCCTCTTTAAAGAACCAAAGAACAAGGATGTCTGTTTAAAGACTAAGATGTGTCTGATTCAAATGACGGTATTTTCAATTGTTTCCTATGCATTTGAAACTTGGACAATGAATAAGGATGGCAGAAGAAGAATCAATGTCTTTGAATTATGGTGTTGGAGAAGAGTACTGGATATCCCATGGATTTCCCAAAGAACAAACAAGTCTGTATTGGAGGAAGTTACTCAAGGTGCTCCTTGGAGACAAAGATGACAAAAGTTTAATCATCTTTGTCTTACATACATTGCACATGTTGTCAGGAAAAACACCTCATCGTGAAAAAAGTGGAGGATTAAAGAAAGAGAGGAATACCTCCAACAAGACAGATTAACACACTGACTCTAACAACGAACAGATTGTGAAGATGGTGCAAGACATGGAAAGGTTCATATTTCTTGTTCATAAGGTCATTATGAGTCATAGTTGACTTTATGCAATAGTATATTTAAATAATGTTTGAGACTAAAAGGGGACTCACTGTGTTATGACTAGGGTAAACAGAGCAAGTACTGAGAGGTGGGGGCAGCTGGACACGGCCTATAAAAAGCAGTATTTGCAAAGGTAAAGAGAACACCAGAGGATCAAGAGCAAAGAT